GAACAACTGCCGACGTGCACTTCCAGATGCCTTCAGGCACTGGGCGGATGGCTTGAAGTCGTCAGTGATGCTGACTCCTGGATCCTACACGACGGTAGCCGTCCCGATTGTGCTTAGCTCACCTTCCTTTGTTTTACATTTGATCATGCGCACTAGCATGCTTCACGGGCTTCGTGAAATATACCGTTATTATTATTAATATTCTCTTTCGCTGGAAATCCGTAGCCATGCATGCAGATAATGTCACCACCTGGATTACAGAAAGTTCCACTCTACAGTCATCTATTGATGCTGTTAAACGCTGGTTCATTGAGTGGAATCTGCCAAACAGCGATGATAAGTGTGTACTCATGACTTTTGGGATCTCCTCTCTTATCTCCCTTCATATAAGTAGATCAAAACCTCGTCAGCATACCAATTTACACAAGGTCCTTTGTTTCTGGTTAAATAGTAACCCCTTTTCCCATCATAACCAGTTAGTCAGCGAATCTTATTAAAAGCTTTTGATCCATTCCCCAACACTCCATCACTCTACAAACGCGGGTCATACGGCCTCACTCGCAGATTCCTTGACCTACTTCTCGACTTTCTCCCGAACCGCACCATCTTGGTCCGTATACGTTCATCGCTCTCACCTTCTTCTTCCATTTCTACCGGAGTACCGCAAGGCCTCGTTCTTGGTCCTCTCCTGCCACCTAGAAGTGGAGTCAACGTCACAATGTACGCTGACAACCTGAACACTTGAGATGCCGACCCTATGGTTGTTTAATCAGAAATAAACTCTGTCAAGGAATGGTCCACGGGTTGAAGTCTTCAAACAGAGGACGAAAAATGTGTCAGCACGTCGTTTCGGAGGGTCCTTGTACACACTTTCAGGGATAGCGCTTCATTGGCCATGGAGAGTGTAGAACATTTTATGACCCTTGGTTTCTGACTGACCAGGTTACTCCCCTTCTCCTACCACCAAGCAAAAGCCAGTCAGTCTGCCTTCCATGTCCTAAACTTCCTAAAACGCTCTTTTTCCATAACAGATAGAGACAACTTTCACATTCTCTATAGCATGTACATTCGACTCTTATAAGAATACGGGAGCCAAATTTCTCACTTCCGCTTGGTGAGCGACTGCACGGTCTTCGAGCGTGTACAACGAAGATCATCAAAACTTCCGCATGATTTATCATTAACTGCTTGCTCTACATGCCTTCCCAACTGGAATCTGTACCCTCTAGAAATCCACCGTATAAGAGGTGACATCTTCCTACTGTACAATCTCTTCAAGTCCGATAATATCGATGGCTTGTTCGTGCGCACTAGTATGGATAATTTTCGTGGGCATAGGATGAAACTCTTCAAACCGCGTGCCCGTTCACTAGTCCGATAGTGTTATTTCACCCATAGGGTCACTCGTCCATGGAACAACCTCCCCAAGAGGTAGTTAATGCTCCCACAAAATCCACTAACCAACGTAGTCTAGACTTGTATCTTGGTCTAATCCGTGAAAGGCAAACATCTCTCCGTCCCATGGAGTTAATCATTTTTGTAAATTTTTCCTGAACTCTTCAATGTGTCCCACTGCATACAGATACTGCATCACTCCCTTACTCTTATCCCATTTCAGTTAACCGTGGAAAAACCAGGTCGTGGATTCACTGTTATTCTCTAAAGACAGTCGCAACTTAACCCCCAGCAGCTATAGACCAATACAAAATTAAAAAGCGGCCCCAGTAAAATTTGTGACCGTCTCATTAGGAGACATACTATCGAACATCTGAAGGGAAACAACCTGCTGTCCCCTTTTTAACACGGTTTCGCTCCTGGCAGGTCATACATCTCCAAAATGCTATCTGTAATGAGAAGTCTAACGCGGCCTACGATGAGGGCGCAATCTCAAACGCAATTTTCATAGATTATATAAAAGCCCTTGACAGAGTGCCTTATTCTCCACTAATGCACAAGCTTGAAATGTATAGTATTAGAGGCAGGCTGCTCAATCTTCTAGGTAGCTTTTTATCCTCGCGCTCCCTCTCTGTTGAAGTAGAAATCTGCTTCTCCAATTATCCCCCAAGGAGAGTAGTGGTTCCTCAGGGATCCGTCCCAGGTCCATTCCTTTTCATCTTTAACTTAAATGGCCTTCGGGACAAAATCTCAGTCGACATTGCTACGTTTGCTGACGATGTCACAATCTGGAGGAATAACACACCAGCAGTGCAGGCAGCCGTGGATGTCACCAAAGCATGGTCATCAAACTGGAGCCTTCCAATGAATGATGATGAATTTGTAAGTATGTCCTTCGGCAGGGGCTTCGGGCACACCTTTAATATGTGCAGTACCTCCCGACATCAGTGTGTCAACCAGCATAAGATCCTTGGCTTTTGGCTAAATAACTATCTCTCTTTCTTGATACCACCAAAAAGCCTGATAAAAGGCTTTTGAGATACTCAACTTTATCAAGCGATCCTTCCCTCGCTTTGACAGAGAACACCGTCAACGCTTATGTGGTATTTACGTAGGACCGCTATTAGAATACGGAGTCAACATGAGTGATCTGGGGTTTTGGGTGGTCGTAACTCCCTCGACCGAGTTCAGCGAGCAGTCAAGAAGCCAGTATCAGGTCTCTTCCATATGTCATACCCCTCCAGTCTCAGCACACTGAACCTTTCCTAATTAAACACCCGTCGCATCAGAGCGGACCTATTCTTTATTTACCACTTATTTTCTATGCAAACGACCAATCGCCTTTTTACTCCGTATTATTTAGATATGCTCCGTCGTCACAGCAAAAACCTATTTATTCCTGGGACCCGTACACGAGTTTGTCACTGGTTTCTCACCTATAGAATTTCAAATAGAACAAGGATTGGCTAACAAGCTCGTTTTCAGGGATTCGTATTCATGCCAAATACATCACAATAAATACTACGCTGTTTATATATAAATCAGTATTCAATTATAAATGCGCAAACAAATGTTTCGGGAAAGAGAAAATAACCTCATGGGTTATCCGGAGCTAAGTTCATCTTGGAACTGGATATGGAATTCCTAATGAGCACATAATTGTTAGGTCATCCGATCGTTGGAACCACTCGGAATATGGTGTGTGTAGTGGGTGAGCCAGGGGAGCATAAGCGCCTGCATAAATTGTTTTTGGGCACACAGAGGGGAGTGGTGCAGCCGAATTCCTACCGCTTCCGCTGTGGATAGCAGACGACAGCGAACCTGCCTTGATAATCGACCACAAACCCGATACAGGGGACGGAATGCCTCGGCCACAGTGTGATTTGTTTCAACTAGGTGTGAAATCACTGCACTAGTGAGTGACAATCGTTCCTGTGTTTATTCGTGGTGTTCACGGATTCGTTTGGACAAACGCCTGACCGTGGGGCCTATGTACGTGGTTCCACAGGAACACGCAAATAAGTACACACAAAATGAGACGGCAAAATCCGGCATTTTGTCCCTTAGTCGTAAACACACAATTGGCTGGGAAGTGAACAAAACATTAAGCTTTGCTGCATGGAAGGTATTAATAACAGCATCTGATAGTCTCCTTCGTATTACTTCTGCTGATGTATCACCTTTGAACGGCAAGGCAATGTATACCGACTTCTTTCTGACCTCAGTCTTCTTCACAATATCTCCACCGCACTGAATCATCTTGCTAACTANTAATCGTTTTGGATAACCATTGTGTGTGAAGACAGTACGTAAGAACCAGAGCTCTTTTTCTATTGTGTCCTCACTACAAATTTTCCTTGCTGTATCTGCTAGACTGCGCACCAAATTCCTCTTCACTTTGAGCGGTACAAAACTGCGAAAATGAATATATTGGCCGTTCCAAGTCACCTTCCTATGCACTGATCGTTGCACCGAGCCGTCCGATCTACGACTCAAACAGACGTCTAGAAATGCCAGTTTGTTATCATTTTCCATTTCTGAAGTAAATGTTATGGTCTGATGAGCAGCGTTGAATTTGCTCAAGAGCTCATTTTTTCCTGATGTTGTGTTGATCACGCACAGAATCTCATTCACATATCTTGTATATAACACACAATCCTGATTGAAAGATTTGAGCTCGTTATTTTCGAGTTTTGCCATGAACACATCGGCAAACAACGGGCCTAGAGGTGATCCCAAAGCCACACCATCCTTTTGTCGATGAATCTGCTCGTTGAACTTGAATTGCACGTTGTATGTGGAAAAATAAAGCAGTCGTTTCAGGTCTTCAAAAGGAAGACCTATCTCAACATTGTTACTTTGTGCGTAACTACACAGGTATTCGATGGTTTTGCTGATTGGAACATTGGTGAAAATTGAGCTATCGTCCAATGAAAGCATCGTCCGACCCATCAAGTTTAAGTCATGAATGCTGTTCACAAAATTGAATGTGTCTCTTACGCTTTGTTTCGCTAATCCAATTCTTACGGGCTCTAGTAATTTAGCCAACCATTTTGCAAGTGCATGGTACGATGATTTGCACATATCCAGAATCGGTCGCAAGGGTACTCATTACGTATGCACCTTCGGCAGCCCGTACAGTCTGGGAATCGTTGTCCCAGTTGGCCGGATCCGTTCGAGAGTGGTCGCATCGATTACTCCATTTTGCTTTAAGCATCTCAATATCTTTGATAAGGCGACCTCTATTTTAGCGGTCTTATCCTTTTTTGTTGTTTTGGTGAATTCTTCCCGTTACTCAATATGGCTTCCATCTTTTATACATAATCTGTGCGGTTCAGAAGCACGATCCGCGCCTCTTTGTCGGGCTTGTATATCATGATTTCTCTGTTTTTCTGCAGGTCTTTGAGTCGTTTGAGATGCTCCGATGTCACTAGTTCACTTCTTTTTACTTTCACACTCTGATGTTGATAGCATGCATTGACTAAGGTTGATTTCAGCTTTTCCAAATCCAACTTCGACGGGGGAACGAGAACAGAAAATTGTGCATAGAGATTTTTAAACTCCACCTCAACATCAAGTTGCTTAGATCTGCCATTAGGATAAAAAACTGGTCCTGGAGACAATACTTCTAACAGCATTTTGTCCAGATTTACACATGATAGATTATGAACGTACTGTTCAGGGTTGACAGAAAGCTCACCCACGGGCTTGACATGGTTAAGTCGCCGACGTAGTATGGTTTGGATGCGTTCAACTTGCTTAGCCACGATCGACTGAACATAATCCTTGAAAGATTTTCTCTCAATCGGTGAAAGATTATCCAACGCACATGCAGAAGTCACATAATTTCGTTCTAAATCCACAAGATGATTACACAACGTGTCACGCTCATTGACAGCGAGACGGCGAAGGGTCGCACTGCGTATCTTCACACGATTTCTCCTCAACAATGTCCAATACTGTTTCGGAAATACCGATTTGGTAACACATTCGTCAATGAACTGAATTCGAGCCTCTGCCAGAGCCAGTTTCGTAGAGAAATTAACATACTTATTAAGTCCGCGAAATGCGATGGGATCTTTGGCTTGTTTTAATTGTATAACCATTCCTATAGAGCACATTTCAAATAGAACAAGGATTGGCGAACAGGCTCGTTTTCAGTGATTATTAGTCATGCCAAATACATCACAATAACATCAAAGCCGAAATAAGACATGTGTCGCGAGATGTTACCATTTCGTTTAATCCTCTCAATCGTCGACGTAAAACAAACAAGCACATCTATAGCACGCTAGATTTTTAGATCCTAGTGAATGGACATGTACAGTTAAACAGGGGCTATTAGAATTAAAAAATACAGGTCAACTTCATGGCAAGTGAACTGATTGGATCAATAACTTTTGGGCGCACAGAACGGGATTATGTAATCGGATTAGCAACTCCTCACTTATCACCAACAGTTTTGCAATACAATCACGTAAGAACGGTTTAAAAGAGGCAGCGGGATCAATTATGTGCTCGGTTGTCATGAGATCTTTTGCAGTTGATGACCCCGGGTTACGTGTGACCGCTTGGTGACTGGGTATGGGTTGCACCATCGATTTGACCAACCACTTTGGAATGTGTTGGGCCATCCGCCGTGATAATTGTTGGTTGGTTCTGTCTATGTATGTGTCACCGCAACTGCAGGTGAACTGGTATACTGTGTGTGAGACAGAACTGGAGTGCCAACCATGTACATGTTTGTTCAAACCGATTCCACGAGTAGAGGCAATAAGTCGGAGTTGAGCACCTGGAAATGTCCGGTTGAGAGCAGACTTGAACTTTTGGCGCACATTGTTCAAAAGGTGATCGCCTTTAAAAGATAGTTTGATGTAAACGGCTTTCTGGGAAACATTTGGCGATGAGTAACCTTTTTCAGATTGCTTACTGTGAATATTAATGTATCTTCCGGGGTAACCGTTTCGTAGTAACGTTTTCTTCAGAAATTCTTCTTCTTCTCGTAGTGTGTCTGAGGAACAAATTTTTGTGGCGCAATGGAACAGAGTTTTTAGGAGTCCACGTTTGTAAGCCATGGATGAGAAGCTAGAGAACTGTAGATATTGACCACTCCATGTAGCTTTTCTGTGAATTGAACTCTGTAATGTACCATCTAAGCGTCTCGTAATTTTTATATCCAAAAATGCTAGAGAATCATTGTTTTCTTCTTCGTGGGATAGGGAAAGATGTGGACGAACAGAGTTAAATTGACTCAAAACGGATTTAAAATGCTCACGTTCCGTAAGAATAAATATACCGTCCACATAACGTCTGTACAAAGTAGACTGGGAAATATTATTGGTAAGAATTTGGTCAATCATTCCTAAAAATAAATCGGCTAGAATTGGGCCTAATGGACTACCCATGGCCACGCCATCAATCTGTTTATATGTGGCCCCTTCGAATTCAAAACGTATGTTTTCGGTTCATAGAATATTAGTTCTCTTAAGTATTCAAGAAGAATGGCAAGGGAAAAACTACCTAAAGAAATATAATCACATTAGAAATCAACTGCTTCGTGGAGTGGAACATTGGTGGAGAGGGAATCCACATCTATAGAATACATCGCTGCAAAGATGTGGTCAAATTCTCCAAGCAATTTGAAAGTTTAAAAGAATCTTTTAAACAATAGCTTGTTAAAAACTTACGGACGGGATTTAGAATTTCCATCAACCATTGTGCGAGTTTGTGATATGGTGATTTCTGCATACACAAAATTGGACTGAGAGGAAGCCCGAGTTTATGAACTTTTGGTGAGCCTCTCATGTGTGGTGTTTCTGCCCCATTGGCTTCAGTTGTTTATACTGCGTTTCGGATATGTACCCATGTAGTATCGCAAGGAAATTACATATTCTGTTACTACATGGCTACATATCCGAAACAAAGAATAGAAAACAAAGCCAATGGGGACAGAGACAACACACATGAGAAGCTCACCTAAAGCTGATAAACCGAGGAATCCTCTCAGACCAATTTTGTGTATGCAAACGTCGCCAAATCACAAACTCGCCCGATGCTTGGTGGAAATCCTAAACGCCTGACCGCGCGGTCTATGAACGTGGTACCACAGAAACACGTAAATGAACACACACGGGCGTTCGTTTGAAATAATCCGTGAACACCACGAATAAACACAGGAACGATTGTCACTCACTAGTGCAGTGATTTCACACCTAGTTGAAACAAATCACACTGTGGCCGAGGCATTCCGTCCCCTGTATCGGGTTTGTGGTCGATTATCAAGGCAGGTTCGCTGTCGTCTGCTATCCACAGCGGAAGCGGTAGGAATTCGGCTGCACCACTCCCCTCTGTGTGCCCAAAAACAATTTATGCAGGCGCTTATGCTCCCCTGGCTCACCCACTACACACACCATATTCCGAGTGGTTCCAACGATCGGATGACCTAACAATTATGTGCTCATTAGGAATTCCATATCCAGTTCCAAGATGAACTTAGCTCCGGATAACCCATGAGGTTATTTTCTCTTTCCCGAAACATTTGTTTGCGCATTTATAATTGAATACTGATTTATATATAAACAGCGTAGTATTTATTGTGATGTATTTGGCATGAATACGAATCCCTGAAAACGAGCTTGTTAGCCAATTCTTGTTCTTTGTAATATGTATTTGTTTAGAGCGGCTAGTCAGAAGGTAAGTATGCCACTACATAATCAATAGCGCACTATTGGTACCAGCTCAATACGGATTTATTGAAAAAAGTCTTCGTTTGACAGACCCGCTGGTGTTTCTAGATGAGGTGACACGTAGACCAGATGAAGGCCTACCGGTAGATGTATGCTATCTGAACCTACAGAAATCATTCAGCTCGGTCAACCACTATCTGTAAGTCCATAAGATGCAAGTATTTGGAACAACTGAGCAAGTCCAAAATTGGGTAATGGGCTTCATAGTGCTGCGGACGTTTAGTATCAAAGTGGGAGAACACACACTCGAGGAGGTGGTGGTCACAAGCGGTACCTCAAGAATCCGTACTCGGACAACTGCTGTCCCTGATATACATAAACGACCTGGTACAAAATTCTTAAAATCCCTGTTTTCTGTTTGCAGATGACGTGAGAACTGGAGCTTTTCAATCAGTGACGAAAAATGTGCTTTCATGTCCTTTGGTTTCGCTCCAGATCAACCTTTCTAGGTGAACGGTTCAACCCAAATCCAACAGATTTTCCAGCGCCAAATTTTCCGTTTCTGGCTGAATAGCAATCTCTCATTTTCTTCCCACAATTTGAAAGCTAATAAATCCGCTTTTCGTGTCCTAAACCTTATTAGACGCTCTTTCCTACGTAAAAATCAAAGGGGACTTCGCTTTCTTCAATGGAACATACATACAACTGCTTCTAGAGTATGGCAGTCAATCTGTTCATTCTGGTCTCATTCGCCACCGTGAATCTAGAACGTGTGCAGCAAATAGCCACGAAACTGGTATATACCTTGTCAGAAAGTCCCTATCCTGTCCGGCTGCAACAGCCGAATCTACACCCCTTAGATACACGACGTATCAGAGGGAATCTATTTCTTCTGTATAATCTCTTATCATTAAGCCTAGTTGACTATTTCTTCACAGGCTTAAAGTGTCCCCGATGGAACGAAGAAGGCCGAACAATAACAAACATTTGTTAGACACCATTTTTCTTCCACAATCTGAATGTATGTTTACATTTTTAATTCAGTACTAACGCAATGTGACGTTTGTTTGACACGATCGCTGACAGCTGTTTCCTTTAGCGAGAGAACTTTCACCTTTTACTTTTGATTAGTTTGCACGTCATTGCGCTCGTTGGTTTTCGTTACCTTCGTGCTGTAACGCAAATTCTCGTTAGTAGGTACCGGTACGTTCTCCGTGCCACGGTACCTCAATACATGTCTACAACAATCACAAGTCTTCTGCTTTGATCAGCAGTAACTTGGTTGTTCGCGAGCTCAGGGTCCCGTTCTCAAGTTCGTCACGACCGCCCGTAGTCGACGATCTTCAAACGGTGAGCCCGCCAGAGATATACTTTCTGTTCTTCAATAAGTCAGCGGTTTTGCGTCTTTGTTGCACGATATTTATATTTACATTGAATATATTATCGCAGCATCATGCCATCCAACAATAAGACACATTCTATCATCTCAGACGTTATCTTGAATACTGTGGCTTTTCGTCCTATCCCATTCGTCCTCCATGACGAAGAGGTTTGGTTAGCAACGTTAGAGCTGCAATTCGCTCACAGAAATTTTAGGAACCAAAGCACAATGTTTGCGCTGAAACTGGAAGCCATCTCAGGTGACCAATTATCTTCCTTACAGGATTTAGTTTTCAATTCCCCCAGGATTATCCATTTGATAAATTAAAATTGGCCATTTATGACGCCCTCTTCCCGTTCAAAGAGGAACGGCTGCGGAAATTATTGCCATGCTACCTCATGGGTGACGCCAAGTCCAGTCAGCACCTGGTTCACCCGAGATCCCTCGTCGGACCTCACGATGCCCATTCGGATATCATCAGGGAGCTGTGGGTTGAGTCGTTACTGGTTCATATTCAGACCATAGTAACAGCTCTACTATAAGCTACCTCACTAGATAGGGTCGCTTCAATTTTGGAAGAAATTATGTCCCGTGACGGCTGTGAATTCCAAAACGATTTGTTCTGGTTCGACCGTAGCCCTAGAGCAATCGTTCTGTATAACGTCGAAGAGATCTTTGAGCAACGCGTAGGAAAATGTGAACCCCAAAGTGAGAATAATATTGCTCCGCCTCGCATACGGTATTGTTTATTTCATTAAGCGAGTCAAAGGACAACGTACCTCAACAATGCGTCTCAGTCGCAATACAGACAAAAAGTGGGTTTAAACAGCTGGATAGAGACTTGATATAAAGGCAAGTAAATAAATATACAAAGAGGGAATATAAATACCTGTTATATCAAGCAATGGATTCTGTTCACCAAACGTGAACAGCCGGTGATCGAAGTCAGCTGTGCACTCGCAAAGATCAAGACAACAAATGAGGCCACAGGGCCAGTGACGGGACAGACATGAACCGGAGCAGTGACACAACAAAGCCACGTAAGAGCAGAGGG